AGGCAAAAGAATCACTTGAACCAGGGAGGGAGAGGTTGCAGTGAGCTGAGATTGTACCACTGCACTCTAGCCTGGATGACAGACTGTATCTCAAAATAATAATAATAATAATAATAATAAAAACAGGTAGATAACCAAGAATTTTTGTTTGTTGCAGTTTTTACTATGATTACTCAGGAATATTATTATTTAGTGACTTTTTTTAACTGTCAAAAATATTTGAGAAACTTCACCAAATAAATTACAAAGTGTCCTGGAAAATCTTGACACCACAATAATACATTGTCTGTGTATTTCTTTTAGCTATGGAAACATGGTGCTTCTTTGGGTTTTTGTGATTAAATTTTCCATTTCCTATTTGTAACCTTATGCCTTCTATATCTTCCTTACTTGGTGGTGGTTTTTTTTTTTTTTTTTGAGACAGGGTCTTGCTCTGTCACCCGGGCTTAAGTATAGTGATGTGATCACAGCTCACTGCAGCCTCAACCTCCTGGGCTCAAGCAGTCCTCCTACCTCAGCCTCCCAAGTAGCTGGGACTACAAGCATGCGCTGCCATGCCTGGCTAATTTTTACTTTTTTTTTTTGTAGACAGGGTCTCACTCTTTTGCCCAAGCTGGTTTCAAACTCCTGGGCTCGAGCAATCCTCTGGCCTTGACCTCTCAGTGTTGGGATCACAGTCGTAAACCACCATGCCCAACCTTTGCCAATTTTTAATCCTTACTGATATTCGCTCTTTATCAAGACCAATACAGAGGAGTTCCTTATAAGGGTGCCATAGGTATAGGTGAAAATGGATTAGCAGATGCTCTTCAAATCAGTTTTAGTGGTCCTATCAGAATTTTGAAAGTGAGAGTAGAATTTTAATAACTGGAAACATGACAATTCTTTGATACCTTTGGAGGAATCTGCTAACAAAGTCTTAAAAAAATTATAGCTAAGTGCAAACAACCTTTTTTTCCATCTTGGCAATTATTTAAAACTCAAATACCTAAAATAAAAAATATATTGACTCCTAGCCATGTTTTAGATAGTGTGACATATGAAATATTTGCCAATTGTTAAGTGGCAGTAACTGAAATTTTAATGAAGGATATTTACCGGAAGTAAAGTGACAATAGGTAATTTTTTAGGTAACAATTATATTGTTTTTTCAAATTCTAGTGAATAGTCTCAACCTTAACAGAGATTACTCTGAATGTCGTCTGAGATTACTTTTTGAGTATCAGCCCTTATGGGTCAAAAGTTTCATATGCTTTATGAATTGCAATTTTAGTACCAGCCATGTCAAGCTCTGGAAAGAATACCAACACAGATGTGTTTATTCAATTCACAATTTTAAAGCTGTAAAAGACCTGAGTTTGGCTGGTGCAGGGTTCTTCAACCTTGACACTACTGGTATCATGAGTAGGATAATCCATTGTTGTGTGTGTGGGAACTGTCTTGTGCATTTTAGGATATTTGTGACATCTCTGGCCTATGCCAAGGAGATGCTGGTAGCACCTGTACTCTTGCTTACCATGTTCCTTGTGGGTTTAGAAGATAATCCCAAATGTTGAAATCCCAAAAGACCAAAATCCCAGTCACAAGATAGTTGCATCATGTTAGCCCAGCTTTCATGGACTATTTCTGTACAACTGCCCATAATCTATTCCTGTAATACATTTTCTCATTTGCCATTTTTTTTCCAGTATCTTCAATTGTCAGACTTAAAAAAATAATAATTCAGCATGCTGTGTATTTCATCTTTGCATCATGTCCAATACTGGAAGTGTAAACTGCAGAGAGTTCTAATTTGTCTTATGCATTTTTTGCAAATGTGACTTCATGAAAGTACATTATCAAAACACTGACTTTGTGTGTAAGCACCGTGCATGTACCTAAAAACGTTGAAACTTCCTCAACAAATGAAGAGATGAGAGATGTCTTTTGCATATCTGCATTTGTGAAAGATAAAAATTTCTTCAGGTTTCAGCTCTTTGGGCAACTGCGTAAGTGAACAGTGACCCACTACAGGTTTTGACCTATCTCATCAAAAGACTTGTCACAGTATTTCAGATGACCAGTTATTAAGCTAGGTGCACATGACTACCAACCATTGTGACATGCTTTTATACATTTCCCTTTTTGATCTACTTCTTTATGAATACAGCTCATCTGCTCATAACTGTTATATGCATGTGACTGTTAGTATACTTGTTTGCAAAATGTTACCATTGCGTTTTATTGTGTCAAATGACCTATGAAGTGTTCTGTCATGTTTTTGTTTCTTAAATAAATCCCTCTTTAAAAATGTAAACAAACATATTTTAAAGAACTAAAAAAAGTACTTTTCCCCGATGTATTATTTTCAATATTTTGGCCTTTTGTGATTGTGATTTTGGGGACTTAAACTTTAGGGATTTTCATCTTTCAGGATTTCAACATTCAGGATTGTGTCTTTTGGAATTATGACTGGCTCTTCTCCCTCTCTGCTCAGTGATGACAACCTAAAATGTCTCCACATTATCAGATGTCTTCTGGGGGGGGGTGGTGTACGATCATCCCTAGATGAGAGTCACTGGGCTAGTCCAATTCCCCCACCCACAGATGACAAAACTCAAATCCAGGAAGTGGGACTTACTCAGGGTCATTTAGCTGTAGGAGAAACTAGCACTAGAACCTGTAACTAGTCAGACTCCTATTCCAGTATTCTCATTTCACCACCTTGAGGTGGAACAGAAAGGCTACTGCTAGTATTGTGTGAACTGACATCTTTTAAAGTCTTTTGCACATATTTGAAGTAATTGCAAAATCAAAAACAAAAACACATGCTGAGTCTGGCAAAAAGCTTTTTCCATGAGAAGCTGTTTCCAAATCTTCCTGTGGTCCGGCCATGTGAGCCAAATTGAATTGTAGTCTTTAAACTGCTCAGGCTTATTTATTAGTGAGAGGCAGGAAATTTGTTATAAAAGCAAAATAATCCAGGCTGACTGAAGACACTAAATCTAGTCTTCCAAAACTGCCTTCACTAAGAGAACTTAATGGCCTCAACATTTGGTTGCAATGACTAATCCCTATTTTTAGTGAACAGAAAAAGTGCTTACAAAAATGTTTTAAGAAATTTGCAGTATTTTACTCCTCTGCTAGTTCTCCAAAGTCAATTGACACAAAGTCAATTGTGTAAAATATTATGGGATAACACGCAAAATATATCATGAAAAAGGATAAAGAAGAAATCAGTATTTCTATGGGGTTATATTTACAGGTGTCTCTCCCGGAAAAAGGAATCTAAATTGTTCTACAATATTCTGGCTCCCATCATCTTTCACTCTGAAGACAAACAGCAACATAAGGCAACACAGCAAATACTAAAAAAATTGATACTGAACATGGCTAAATGTTTCACTTATGTCTTCTGCAGTGGGATCAAGCACTATCAACTAAAATAATTCCCAAAACTGCTTTAAGCCTTATCTCATGGTTTGCAACCAGCAGGCTGTTTGTAGACATACAGAACTATTATAGTAAGAACTCAAACGTCTCTCAGATTAAGATGGATAAGAAATAGCCTTTTGTGTTAGGGGCAATGTGTTGGAGAACTGCAAAAACTCTCCCCATCCTTGGAGAGTTGACCAAAATTTAACATGGCCTCGAGAAGCCTAAGGCCACATCCATGAGGGCAATCCAGCCCTCTTTTGAGTTCCTGTCGGAAAAGCCAGGCTGCCAAAAAAATTTTACTGTTTGTTCTAACCAACCCTAATAACAGCTCCCTGACTTCCCTTTTAAAAAGCATTTACTAAAAAGGGCTCACAACTACGAATCCTCCTCCGTTCCTTTGAGATGTGTTTGTACCTCTTACAATTCAGGAGTGTCTTCCTTAAGGACCTGGAAGTCAATGCTCTGAAATGTAACCAGGAAGGACTGGGCCTGACTCCCGGTCTCTGTGGGAGGATCCTATTTTATCTTAGATCATTCCAAGATAGGAGACAGAGCTGGCCTACTTGCGTTTATGCAGTGAGCAGCCCTTTGTAATTTTTCACCTCCCTGACTCTACTTGAGCCCTCTCTTCCCACTCCCTACTTCTCCCTTTAAAACTCGCAGTCATCTCGGTGAAAATAGGAATGGAGCTCAGCCTTTCCCCCGTCAGTAGTTGCGGAATAAAATCCTTTTTCAGCGCTTTAATGTCCAGCTTCCTGTATCTCTGACATTGGTAGGTACATATTAAAACTCAGCTGGGCGCGATAGGTCGCGCCCATAGTCCCAGCTACTCCGGAGGCTGAGGCAGAAGGATCCCTTGAGCCCAGGAGTTGGAGGCTGCAGCGAGCTACGATCGCGCCACTGCACTCCAGCCTGGGCACAGCGAGACCTCCGTCTCTAAATTAGAGGATTAAAAGCACACACACATAAAACCCCAGACCACTATCAAGACGGGCCTATAAATCTTAGAAGCTTGTCTTACAGGGCCATATCCTCAAAAGCTTAGGAAAACTCGCCAGTGATCCCCCGCTAAACCTCATTCCCTCTTCTCTTCCCCCAAGGGCCCCGCTACTTCCTGCTTTCCCCGATTCCTAAATCCACCTCTCCCTAAGTGTCCTAAGTCGAAGTCTCTACTTTCCAGGATGCTGAACTTCACCAAACGGAAGCTTACCCTCTTCCACGTTTGGGCTTTTTTCTACTTATCCCTGTCCCCTCAATTTTCGAGTTTCCTCATCAACCCCACTTCCCTTTCCCTGACGCTCCGAGTCTAGATTTCCTCCTGGCCGCCCCTAGTTTCCCACTCCGACCTCGGCTTCCTCCGCAAGCCGAGCGCCCCTTCCCTCCGCACTTCACTCGGAAGCCCTGGCGCCCCTTTCCGGGAGCGGCGGCCGGTGAGGGGTGCGCGGGACTCGGGCCGCGCCCTAGTCGGCCATTTCGCACACTCGGGGCGCGCCCGGCGGGCTGGGCGCGCGAGGCCTGTCCTGGAGCGCAGGAGTTGAGGGGCTGAAGACCGGGCCGCCCCCGCCGCCGGGGCGGGAACTCACCTTCTCTGAGGCAGGGGCGGGCGTCTACAACTACTGTCCCCCGCCCCGCCAACGCCGCCAGCCAGGGGATAAGCCGCGGTGGAGGTGGCGGAGAGGCAGGAACAACCGCTGCCGCCGCCGCCGCCTCCGCCGCCGAGCAGGCGGGATGGGAGGAGGAGGCGGAGACCCGGCTTCCTGAGGGGAAGTCGCCGCCACTACCGGCTTATGACTGGACAGCGCAGACGCCATGGCGGCGAGGCGTGCTACTGCGCTTGCGCGGCGAGCCCAGCGCCCAGGAAGCCCCTTGAGCCCCGCCTTGCTGCTTGCTTCGCCCACTGGGTCTGGCAGTTCCCGGCGCGGTTCTAACGTCTTGCTGGCGCGACTGGTTTTGATCCTGCCCCTCTGCCCTCCTTTTGGGGGCAAAGAAAAGTTCGTGGGGCCGCTCGCCTTGGGAGAAGGAGTATAAAGCCAACTGAGTGAAAAAAAAAAGTCTGAAAATTTACAGTTCCACCCTCAAAGTATCTCAAAAATACATGATCTGTTGCCTTATCAACCCCCAAATATAGGTTCGTGTACCAAATGGGCAGTAAGCCAAACACTGACACATTCGGAGCTTAGGAGCGGGGGAAGGTTTATTCCATTTGGCCAAAGTGAGAGAGCGGGAGAAGTCTCTCAGATACTGACATGCCTTTGAACGTAACTGGGGGGCTTTTATGAGTAAGGTAAGAATAAAGAGGGTGGGATCCCCCGTGATCAAAGTGTTTCCTCCCTGGGACTCTAGGTCTCATCTGCCCCATCAGATGATGCCCCATCTGGACCATCAAGGAGGTCTGCGTGACCTAAGAGTCATCGTTGTTTTGATAGGGTCTTGTGCTATGCCCCAGGCTGGAGTGCAGTGGTACGATCACCGCTCACTGCAGCCTCGACCTCCTGGGCTCAAGTGATCCTCTCACCTCAGCCTCCCAAGTAGCTGGGACTGCAGGCAGGCACATGCGCCTGGGTGATTTTCGTTCATTTTTTATAGAGATTGGGCAGGGGGTGGAGATGTCTCACTATATTGCCCAGGCTGGTCTCGAACTTCTGGGCTCAAGTGATCCACTCACCTCAGCCTCCCAAAGGGCTGGGATTACCAGTGTGAGCCACCGTGCTAGGTCCATTGTTCTTTAAAAGAAAAACAAATTCATCAGTCTTGCCTGCAGCTCTGGGGTTAGGATATGAAGTTAATCAATTCCTAGTCACTACCCCTCTACTGAAATGACTACGTGCAAGCAAGCATGCATGGAGGAAGAAAAGGACAAAGAAAAGGAAAATAAATAAAACAAAACATTTTATGATCTATACAATAAAGCCTCAGTTATAATCTCTCTTTCCTTTATACAGAGTAGATTAAGCACAATCGTTTGTCATGGTACGTTGTCATCACTGGTCCATAAATGACCTTTTTCTCTCTCCCTCTTGCTCTTTCAGTATATACATCTATAATATATATTATACATACAAATATATATGTATGTATATATCTCATCATCTCATCCCGTTTCCCAGAGAAATCACTAACCTAGTTTGTATTCATCATTTCCTTTCTCTATGTATTATCATACATAGGCATGGCTGAAACACATTTAGATTGTTTTTAAACTTTATAAGATTTACACCTTTATGAGTATGCTGGGGGGTGTTGTTCATTTCACTTAATATTTTGAATTTCGTCTAAGCTGTTGAAGACAGCTGTAATTTGTTCATTTCACTGCCAGACAGGACTCCACTGGTATACTGTGGAAGAGTTTTTTTGGGTATTCTCTACTTTCCTGTCACATTGCCGTTGCCTTATTTCAGATTCTCATCATCTCTTGTTAGAAACATGCTAACATCTCCCTCTGACTTCATCTACTCCAGGCTACTCTCCATATTGCTGCCAAAGGGTTCTATCTAAAAGTCATTACTGGCTCCCCAGTGTCTGTTGGAAAAGGTCAAACTGAGTACTATGAGGCTTCTGTGCACCACCTCCCTGATCTCATTATCTTTCCACTGCCCTTACATCCCCACCCTGCTATTACCTGTGATTCAGCAACATTAAACCTATACTGATTCCTATAAATACCACACTATTGCAAAACTCAACTCGCAGTACTGTATACACTTCTCCCTCTTTCTGGAATGCCCTCTGCTCCACTTCCTCATGAATTCCTCTTTCCCTCAGAAATAAATACTATTCTAAATTCAGCATTTTTCATTTCCATGTATTTCTTTATAATTTTACTACATATGTATGTACCCCTAAGTAACATGAAATATTGCATTGCATGGTTTAAAACTTTACGTGTTACTATACATAGTGTTTATTCCTCTGCAATGTTTTTTATGTGCCCTCTTTTATATTAACTCATGCTGATATGTGAGGTTCTCATTCACTTTCACAGTTCAATAATATTCCATTGTATGAATGTACCACTACTTACCCTTTCTCCTAGACGTTTTTGATAGACACTGGGTTTGTTTCCTATTTTTGCTCCTCCAGTTGGTGCTGCTTTAACGTTCTTGTGCAGTCTCCTTGTGCACCTGGAGCAGAGTTTCTCCAGGTTTTATACTTTGGAGATGTTTTTCACAAGGAGGCCTCAGATATACTTCTTACTTCTGTGAACCTCCATTTTTTTCATCTTCAAAATGGCCACAATATCCACCTCAAAGGGTGCCATGAAACTTGTGGTAACATAAGCAAAGAACAATGTCACACGTTGGAAGAGATGTTGCTGTTAGAATAGCTTTCAAATGTATATGAAACACTGGGACATAAAACACAGTAGTCTGGTGCCAGAATGGTAAAGAGAAGTATACTACTTATGTATCTGTAGCTCCTGCAATAGTCGCCCAATTATAGTTGTTGCACATATCATGCTGTTTCTTGGCCTTCATGTCTCTGCACATGCTGCCATGTCCTTGGGTCTGAAGTGATCGCCTTTGGTTCTGAGGTTCCGGTCACCCTCCCTACTTCTCTTGTCTGTCTCTTCTGCAGAGCTTTCCCTGGTTCCTCAGAGCCCTGGATACCCTTCCCCTTAGCCTCCTATCTCTCACCAGCTTTACATGCTCTTCCATAATCTCCTTTAAAGGTCAATGTCTCGAAGACAGGGCTTACATTTTACACATTTTATTTTATTTTATTTTATTTTATTTTATTTTATTTTATTTTATTTTATTTTATTTTATGAGACAGAGTGTCGCTCTGTTGCCAGGCTGGAGTTCAGTGGCGTGATCTCGGCTCACTGCAACCTCTGACTTCCTGGTTCAAGTAATTGTCCTGCCTCAGCCTCCCAAGTAGCTGGGATTACAGGCACGTACCACCATGCCCAGTTAATTTTTGTATTTTTAGTAGAGACAGGGTTTCACCATGTTGGCCAGGATCGTCTTGATCTCCTGACCTTGTGATCCGCCCGCCTCGGCCTCCCAAAGTCCTGGGATTACAGACGTGAGCCACTGTGTCTATTTTACTTTATTTTTTGAGAGAGGGTCTTGCTCTGTCACCCAGGTTGGAGTGCAGGGGTATGATTGTGGCCAACTGCGGCCTCCTCCTGGGTTCAAGTCATCCCCCCACCTCAGCCTCTTGAGTAGCTGGGACTACAGGTGTGCCAGCTAATTTTTATATTTTTTTGTAGAGACGGGGCTCTTACTATGTGGACCAGGCTGGTCTCGAACTCCTGGACTAAAGTGATCCTCCTGCCTTGGCATCTCAAAGTGGTAGGATTACAGGTATGAGCCACCATGCCCAACCTTACTCATCTTTATACCTGGAGCAGTGAGCACAGTGCCTGATACACAGGCTGATAAATGCATGCGGGATGAATGAATCTAGGACTTCTTGGGAGGAAAGGATTGCACAACTAAGGATTTCTTGGAGCCAGAGGGAGAAAGAGGGAAGCAAGCATGCTGTTTAAGTAAGAACACATGAACTAGAGAGTATGAAGTTTTGTCAAGGATGTAATTATGCAGGATATCTTGGATAATCAAGGAGGGCACGTGCTCCTGTCACCCTGGAATGTGAGTGCTGGGTGTGCACAAGAACTTCTTCCTTGATCAGGTCCCTCACACAGGATATGAAATGAATGAATGAATCAGTCAGTGAATGTACTTGAAAGCGGTGAGCTTCTCCCCAACTCTAGGCCTATTTAACATTGCCAGGTATTAAGCTATTATTAATCTAAGCATGGGTTGGCAAACATTTTGTGTAAAAGGTCAAATAGTAAATATTTTCAGCTTTGTGGTCCATATGTTGCCTGTTGCAAATATCCAACTCTGCTGTTGCAATGTGAAAGCAGTCACAGAAAATATG